AGGTCATGACACCGAGAAGGCGTCTAAAATCGCGGCCGTCCTGCTTGGGCTCACACGAAGCTGATTAGTCGTAAACACCACTTCGTCATGACATTTCAGGCTTGTATCGCTTCTGACGACGTGCGCCGAATCCGTATACGTTTCGTGGCTCTGCTCTTTCCAGGGCCACCATTTCGGATGACTTAATTACAGCGAAGAAATGAAAACACGGACGAGGAATGCAGCCACTTTCCACAGCGACGACGACGCAGTCGGAGGACAAGCTGGCCTCCTCCGTGCGCAGCCTCGGACGGCAATCGACTTGAAAGAGCAATCACGACGAGCACCGAGAACGGACGGATGCATAATGCATGCCGCACATATGCATAATCAACGTGGACAACTTTCCATCTTCGAGCAGGCACCGAGGCACAAGCGGCCCTCGGCGCATAATGGCGTCGCGAGAACAATCGGGGCCTCGTTGCACAGAGCTATCGCAAGGGCAAGTTTGTGAGCACTCGTCGTTCTGCTCTACAGGCCGGAATAGCTTGGTAGCGACGCCTGAGGAAGGCTGAAGAACAAAACGCTCTCTCTCTCTCTCTTTCTCTCGCACATGAGCCATGGGCGCTGCAGGGGTGTGCAGAAGGGACACTTTCCTCCTCTCAAGCCGCACCAGCAGTTGCTTCCCCTCTGCCTTCTAATAAATCATCGCGCTCACTCTCTCTCCCACTCAGGCTACACCAGCGGTCTCTCCCTCTCCGGCCCTCAATGAAGCATCGGTTCGCACCCATCAAGCCCAACTACTGCACTCCTGCCGACGCCATGCCACGGGCAAAAAGTAAAAAAATAAAAAATCGAAACTATGAATAGCCCTAGACGTGCGTGGTGCATTCATTGAGCGCTGCCAACCAAACCTGGCGCACCGCGTTATCCCTCTACTATGCGCAAGCGTGCCGCTACCGATTAGATGGCGACTCCATAACCCCTCGCTCCGATAGACGAGCGAATGGAAAACAGACGTCCCATAAATGTCCATACTGATGAAATGTTAAATTAAAAAAAAAAAAAAACTCGTGATAAGAAACGTGCGCGGCAAAGGATTGTGTAACTGGCAGGGGAGAAAAGCAGCTGTTGTGACTCTCGGTCATGCGTGACAGGCTGTCCATCACGAGCGTAGCCGGGCTGCGTTCCCACGACCTGAAACCCCAGTGCCTTTCCCGCGGAACGAGCGTCCAGCGGCGGGGAGCAACAAAGGGACAAGAATGTGGCAACTTCCACGGACCGTTAGCCAACGTCCCCAGAGGCATTTCCTCCACAATGGCTAGTTTGGGAGGCGGCGAGGCCGACCGACCCCGCAGGTCGTGACTAAGCGATCAAGTCGCTAATCCTTTGCTGCCCTTCTAGGGAAAAATGGCAGTAGGCACTCATCCGCACGGATCTCCCTCTATTCAGCGAAACTGAACGGAGAAACATTGCGTCAGCCACTGTAACGACTCATGGACGATCATGTGCTATTGGCTGATGGCATGGTGGGTGGTGACGAGTGTTGTGATTGGTTTTTCAATCAAGAACCAGGAGCCCCACAGGGCTTGAAACAACGCTGCAAAGTGCAGGATGTCGCTCTGAACCTTGGTTTGACGGTTCACCCTCCATGCTCGTGGTTTGCGGTATTGTAACCTTCTATGTCGTAAATAATTGTAAAAAAAAACGTGCCAGCACATCTGCTTCTTTCCGTTTTCCCCAACTTGTCAGCATCGTTTCCTCCACCCGGGGACGCTCCACGCTACCACGGGAGTCCGGGTCCGATGTAACCCTGACGTCCCGGCAAGCCACGTCAGCGGGAACGCGTCGGGTAGGGACCCGGATCCGCAACACAGCGCCCAAGTTGTGTGACATATCGTTCTCCACTTCTGCTTTCATAGAAAAGACAAACGCGGTCCTACGAAAGTTGATGCTGTCATATGCCCGTAAACAACGCAACTTCCATACGTAAACATGGTCGTAAAAAAACGTCATTCTTTCCTCGGAGTGTTGAGTAAAAAATCACACACGCCCGTTCACGCTCAAACACTAACCCACGCACGCTGTCTTCATGCCAGACTTATCACAGTAGTTCTAATGTGATTCTTAAAGAGAAAAGAAGAGAAAAGTGAGCCCCGTTATTGTTGCTTCGGGTGCTTGTTACGGATGCTTCGCCCCACTCGCCATCATTCACCTCGTGGATATGCTGTGATTTTTAAAGACGATAGTCTTTCCTGCGGACCTTCGACGCAAAAAATTTGGTCTGTCTATCTGTCTGTGTATATTTGTCTGTTTGTCCGCCCTTAAAGGTACCCCAAACAGCGGACCCCATCCGCAGCGCCCACCAATATTGCTCAAGCTTTAGCGTTCATACTTGTGCGATTGTCAATTAAAAATTGATTATTGCGCATAATCTGAGGCACAGTAACAACACGTCAATATTCTGTATGGGTGCCTTTATACTAGAAAAGGCATGCATAAGCAATTCTAAGGACTGTACCATTTATCACGCTGCCCTGATAATGCAACGCTTGCACGAAAAGGCAAGTGTTTCTAACGCTTTGCTAAAAACGGCACGGTGGCGGCGCCTATCCGTCGCCTTAGGTTCTACACCTTATCGCTTCCGAGACGGCAGCGCACGCCGAGCTCTTCGTTTTCAAAGATAGCGCTCATAGTTTCACGTGTGACGTGACTCGATGCGCTCCAGAATACCATTCACCGATTTTCTTGCACAGAACGTCAAATAAACGTTTTGTTCACTCTCTCCACACGCAAGACTATCGTCTTTCGACGACATTTGCAGTGTACCATGCAGATACGGGGCCATTTTTTTTTCCCTAGGGACTTCAAGCGCTTCAAGCCTAACCAGCGCCGACCAACAAGGGCCAAGTAAACGCTGCTGGGAGAATAATGCTATGATCTTGATAAAAGGCGAAAAACTGGTTCCATGGAAAAAATCCCTCAGCGAACTTCAAAAATTATACGTGTGATGACATTGTCGCTGCAAGCCCACCGAGTTTCGTAAGCAACTGATATCGATTGAGAGACTACGGTTACAGCGTACGGCGCCAGACAATTGACGATCGACCGGCAAGGTGGCACGGAGGTTGACCGGCCAGCCCGGCTCTCCACAGCGCCGCACCCAGGAAAGCCGTTGCGAACGAAATGCCGGCACGAAAGATGGGCGCGTGGCAGCTCGCGTTTCCCTCCCGTTGCAGTTGTTCTCCCGTACGCGTGCGTTCGGACCATGAGGCGCGAGGGCGTTGCAGCGCGCCAACGAGTCCCGCGCAAGAACGCACCAGCAAGGCGCGCGCCCGCACCCGGACGTCGCCTGCATTCCTGACGTGAGGGGGCGAAATGGCAGGCAGCACGCGCTCGCCGTCACCTCCGACCCGGGCGCACGCGACCTCTGAACTCGGCGCGCGGGAGGACAGCGGTCGGCCACCGATCAAGCCCGCCTCTGGCCGCGCGCGCCCCGCATGTTATCGCGGCCGTTGCGCGCTTGCATTCCAAACGCGCAGTTGCGTGCAGCGTGCGCCCACACAAACCGCGCAGTGATCGTCGCTTTTTTTCTCCCCTTCTTCTTATCACCAGTATTCGAACTTGATCAACACCGGCCCTTGTAAGAGAAAAACAGGGCGCCCCCCCATAGGTCGTGGCGGTGGTCTCCGAGGCCCGGCCCGAGCAATTGTAATGAACTATTCGGCGATGCGGTTCTCGGAGTACGTTCCGTGAACGTTCGCATTCTGAGAAGTCACGTCCCGTAGAGTGATGAACAGTGTTTCCTGCACACAAGTGCGAATTCGCAGCGTGCGTTCCGACACGAGGGGGTGGTTGGGGAGGTTAAAGAAATAGCGGTGTGTGCACGAAGGGGGGGTTGGCATGCCATAATCACCTTGGCTTGTGAACTATTCGACGCGGCGGCCAGCGCTGCACGCCTTCTTTATCATCTTTGCTGGCTCCGCGAGAAGCCGGACGTCCGAGCGGCGCGATAAGCAGCGGCGCTCGCATGCTGGAACGCTCTGCTTGTTTGTGCAAACGCGCGCGGGTGAACTATCTGCGAATGTGCACGGAGAGGCAGGCTGCCTGCGGCGGGCGGATGTGGCGCCCCCGCGAAATCGTGCTCCGTTGCAGCTCCGCTGATGGCCAACAAAAGGCTCCCAGAACAACCGGTGCCTGGCCTAACAAAAAGAGGCGACTCGTAGTAGCGCTCGTGAGCACCCTGTCCACACAGGGCGGCGGTGCATCGCACAGGGCGACCACCCTTGCACAGCGTTCCTCCGTGACCAGAGCCTGCCACGCCGCGCTACGGCGCAGCAACAATGAGGCGCCGCGGAGCGCTTCGCTATATTACGTCGAGAAACAGCGTGTGTGTCGAACAGCCGGCGCCAGGACAGAAAATAACAAAAAAAAAAATCGGCCCAACAGGTACGCCAACTCGTGGCTGAGATTGAAAGCGTGGAAAGGCGAGCTAGTTGGTCTAGCAAGAAAACATTGTGTATATATTGGCGCGTGTTTCATCTGTCTAGCCCCGCGTTTTACGTGCTATTCGGCAACGAAAAAGAATCTTAAAGGACAAGCAGTGGAACAGCCAACAGCGAGCTGGCGTCGAGGTTCACGAGTGGAAAACGAGCGACGGCGGCCGGAGACAAGCGCACGTTCGAGGCTGAGTTGCAGTCTCCAGCCTTCCCACCACTACTCACATGCTTAGAAACCGGAAGTACGGTCTCGCAAGGACTTCCGACTCCCCTGGCAATTAAGAAAATGAAAGAAAACCGAGCTCTCGTATAGATGTGCTACAGTCTCATCAGCCGAGATGCGACGTCGTTGTCTCCCGAAACTTCGCATACCGCGGCAACTCCGTGGCCACTGCCATTCTCGTCCCACGAAGTAATAGAAGGTGGGCGCGCATCGGGTCTCCCCCCATGCAACGAGGGCTCGCCCGCCATCGGCGGTCATTTAGATCAACCCCGGACGACCAAAACCATGCGTCCACCCACCAGCCCGCCCTGCGGTCACGGGGTCAAGCGGCCCGCCGGAGAAAGGTCCGATCGTATCTGCGGCGTTATTATGGTGGCGCCGCAGGTCCGGTATGGCGCATGCGGACCTTTCTTGCAGCTCTTCGACGCGGAGTTGCTGCCCTGCGCAACAAAAGAGCAAGGGAGGAGGGTCATCCACGGACTGCCATTACGTGCGCACCGGCTCATTCGAGTGGAACAACCACGGCGGAATGCGCTGGAGAGAACGCTGTTGCTTCCTCTGGTGTACAGACTTGCTTTCGGGGATTACAGAGCGATGAATTGGGCTGTGGTTAGTCTACGACGGCTAGTCTGTGGTTAGTCTACGTTAGGCTACGTTGGTTGGTGGTGCACGCGTCAGGTAGAAGACGTGGTCTGGCTTAGGATCCTAAGTCACTGACGCGGAAATCTCGTAGGCACGTGACGCTGCACGTACAAAATGAACGAACGCGAAAACCAACCTCGAAAGTAAGAATAAGAGGACGCGATCTGCGCGGCATTTTCCATTGTGTCCGTGGTGTGGCGAACGGCCAACTCTCGCCCACATTACGTGGGTATGCGGATCACGGCCCCAAAACGTCAATTCTCCTCTTTTGGGGACAACATCTCGACCGAGGCTGTGGGAGCTTGCTCGCAAGGATCAGGAGAGGCAGCTGGCTTCGCTCGATCAAGCCCAGCGAGCCGCAAAGACTAGCGGAGCCCTGGACTGAGCACCCCACCCCCTAGCCCTGAAACCTTTTAGCGAACAAAAAGAAAGTTTCTTCTTCTTCAATTGTTCACGTAGTCGCAATTAATCATCGTCGCGACAGTCTGATAAGCGGTCTGATGAAGTAATAATGCAAGAGCAGCAATTGGCAGATTTTTCGTTTCCTTGCATTGCTTTCCTTGTCTCCGTTATTGTTTTACTTAGCGACCACTTCTCGGGGGAGAGTTGGCCACTAACGATGCAGGCTAGGCAATCACTGATATACAGCTGGCAACCTGCTCAGTTCTCTTCGGGCATAATCAAAGTCAGCTTCGAGATGTGTCTTCTTAAGTCTACACACGCCGCAATCCGGACACACAATGTTGCCCTTCCTCGTTACGGGAAAGGTACCACTACGAGGCCCAATGCCTACGAAGTCGCGAAGCGAAATCAGTATTGTACAAGTTGCTCCTTAACGCGCCTATATAAAACGCCGGACGAGCCTCCGGAGAGGCAGAAGCAGGAAGGCTCTCCAATCTAAAGCCCCTATAGAACACCACCGCCGACTGTCCGGCAGCGCGCCATCACGGGACGGTCAAGGCGGGGGCAGCATGCATTTGCATATTTTACAATTTAAATAGCCGACGCAACTCCACGCACAAGCACGGCCACATAAATGATGGAAATAAGCTGGAAATCAGAAGAAACGTGCCGCTGGTACCACTAAGGTTCCGGTAAAGATCACAGATAATACAGCTTTCTGTATACATGTAAGAGAGGAATCTGCGTTGTTGCATATAGTGTCGACGCGAGTTCTTCGACGCTGCTCTAGGATACACGCAGTTTCTAGTCTTCACACCTTCCTGTGTTGATATAATTCACATGTAATTATATGAGGCACGCGAGGCGCATGTATCCCCGTATCGCCGAGAATGTGGACGGGAACGAGGAGTTAAAACGAAGAAGCAACCGTGATCGACTCTCGCTTTTTCTCGAGACAGCACGTCAGCAAACGCGTTAGACGAGCTGGTCCTACATGATACGGTGTTCCTTTTGTCAATGTGCCCACTGCTGAGCAAGCTTCCACGCGCAGGCGCTGGCTTAAACGCGAAGTCGAAACATGGCTGCCGATTGGACCGCGGTACCCGCGCGACCACACCAGGCCCATGCGTGAGCATGCACGCTCGTTCCAGCCCTGCAAGGCTACGAACCCGGAGACCCCCGATTCCAAAGCGTGCCTCCTCCTCCCTACGAAACAACATCCGTTCTTGACCAACTCGCGGCGAGGGTATACGTCTTCACTGGGCAGATAGCTCGCCCGATACCGGCCAGTTATAAGCCGCGCATAAAGCACGGCCCGGGCCATATGGGCCCCAACTCGGTATCTCGCCAGGGAATCAGCCCCCACCGCGATGTTACTCTCCGAGAGGAGGGGACGCTATTTCACCGGGAGAAGGGCGCACGCAGGCTGCGCTCGAGGCATCCCTGTTATTACGTGTTTCGTTCCTCTCGGCGCATTAATAACAGCAACGCGTAGCGCACTCGCATATGACCACGCATCATCACCGCCGGAGAGGTTTCGGAGGATGCGGGAGGGAAATGTGGCGGCGCGCCTAGCACGCGCCGATGCCTTCGGACCACTTCTCCCCCTCCTCGGAAGAAGGTACATCTGCTGCTGCACCTCTGTTGCGTGCCCCCAACACACCTAGCACTACAGCTACCTCCTCCTCCTCCGCATTCCAAGGCAGGCACACACCAGTGCGCTTTCGTGCGCTGCAGTTACGAGCCACGCAGCGGACGAGGCATTTTTCTTTTCTCGCGTTATATTTCATAGGTGGTGTACGACGACGATCACGCAGACACAGGAATTTCGAATTCGTTATTATTTCTGCTTCGGTGGAGGAGTAAAGACCAAGGACGGTCGCGATTATTTAACTCTCTCTCTCTCTGAATAAGCAGACCGAGGTCGGGGGCGGACGGGTCCAGGGATTCGGTACTTTATTACGAAGCATCACGTGACCACATTAGAAACCATGCATCACCATTTGCTTTTTTAATTTTTTTCCCCTTATCTGTTTCGCGCATTACCACCACGAGGGTTGTGAGCTTCACAGACACGACACCCGTATGTGTACGAAAATAGGGTATCTCTTTGTCTTGCTAGTATGGCAAATCAATAGCGGAGGAAAGTACCTAAAGGGAAAAAAAATGGCAGATCCCAGGTACAGTGGAAATCGATATTATTCGAAGCATGTATGAGAAATGTTGATATGTCGCTTTAAAATGAGCACAACGTTACGAGTGGAGGTAAATGATGCCGTACATGACTTCCACGTCATGATTATCATGTTTGCATGTGTCGTTTACCTTCGTCATCTATTAAAGTCACGTGATACCAAATTTAGTACATGTGGAGCTAGCGAAACGGCCGCGAGCACGCTATGAGCGTGGTATGTTGTCATGTTCTTACAGGACACGCGTGTCAGTATTATCATGTTGGCACCAGTCATATATTTCGTCATCGAATGACGTCACGTAACACCAAATTTGGTACATGTGGAGCTAGCCAAACGGCCGCGAGCACATCATGAATGGCTCAACATACTCCATTCTAGCGTTGACGCGCGCGCGCGCTGGGCACAGCGACTGCTACGTTAGCAAACTGCGAGCATCACTCCTAGTCTGACGCCAGGCGCGACCAGCGTCTGTCGGCGCGGCCCAACGGCAACCGGCGCGAAATGCGACATGCTGAATTTCGTGCCGATGCGTTACCCAGATAACACTGCGTCTCCCTCTTTTCGTGGCGGAGGAACGCCGGACGCGCTGAAACGCGCATGCGTCAAAGCAACGCAGCGCGACAGCGCGCCTGCGCGTATATGGCAGGGACCGGCGTCTGGCGTAGCACCACCGGCGTGACGCGACGAAATGAACGCCGGCGAGCACGCGCACCGCGTCAAGTCAAAATGTGTTCGCGCCTTGACTGTGGTATGTAGTCATGTTCTCACATGAGACGCATCTCACGATTAATATGCTTACAACAGTCACATACCTTCGTCATCCATTGGCGTCACTCGATACCAAATTTGGCATATCTCGATTCGACTGAGCACAGAGACAATAGGGCCTGTTCGCTTGTACGTATACTTCTTTACGTTACCGGATACCGGTTTGCGTTTTCCGTCTTACCGAAACGCATGTTTTTCAACGTTTTAGCTGGATTCGTAAACGTTTGCGTGCGTTAACGTGCGTAAAGGTATACCTTAACGTTTTCACAAACCATAAATGGTGATGCTTACTGCATTTAAACTATACTTAACTTAGATATGATTGAATCACCACTGCGGCAAAACCACGAGACGTTTCTTTGTCGTGTACAGTATGCTGGTATGCGCAAAAGGACGAACCCTTACAAGGTTATTGCAACGATGGTGTCGACATCTTGTGGCACTTGTGTGCAACCACAGTCATGAACACGTTGGCTTACGCGTAATGTTTTTGAAATGAAAATTATTAAAAAGGTAACTAATTTGTGATAACGCCGCTACGCGGTTTTTTTTAATGTGATTGTCTGGTTCATTTTGGCCCCGCTAGATGGGGCCACCTATCCATCCTGTCGGGGGCGCACACAAATTACGGCTTCGATGTTCTATGCCATGCTAGCTTTGGTGGTACGGCTGAAACAATGTAATCACGATTAGCGCTCACACACCGGCTAATTTTGACTAGACGGCTGGAGTCTCCGCAGTGCGGATATCACGAGTTCCTACGAACGAAGGTGGAATTGCGAGATAGGGCCGCAAGCCCCGCCGCGGTGGTCTAGTGGCTAAAGTACTCGGCTGCTGACCTGCAGGTCGCGGGTTCGATTCCCGGCTGCGGCGGCTGCATTTCCGATGGAGGCGGAAATGTTGTAGGCCCGTGTGCTCAGATTTGGGCGCACGTTGAAGAAACCCAGGTGGTCAAAATTACCGGAGCCCTCCACTACGGCGTCTCTCATAATCATGTGGTGGTTTTGGGACGTTAAACCCCACAAATCAATCGAGATAGGGCCGCAAGCGTAATGCCCATCCGGCGGGTAGTTTAGGCTAGGTAAAGGTTTACGTTCCGTGAAGACGCGCGCATGCGCAGATTCTATCCAGCATTCGGTAACGCGTTGACGTAAATAAGTGTACGTACATTCTAAAAGCCCTTAATGCTGAAACACCATCCCTGCCGATTATCGGCCCACAAGATAGTTTAAGCCAAGTATTGCTCCACGACGCCTGCACAAGAAACAGTCATCACCATTCTGGACTGCCACAGGATCTCTCTCTCTCTCTCTTTTTGTCTGTCCTCATCTTCATCTAGTATGCTTGGCTCCCAGAACACGTGCGTCCAAGCAATTTGGGCATGCGTCTAATATTTCTTAACAGGCACCTAAATCTAAGTACACGCTTTTTCATTTTGCTCTTCTTGTTTCGCCCTCTTCGAAATACGGCCACACCATGCTTCGGGAAAAGAATGCTAAGTAATGCAACAAATCAGCCGTAAAGATACACCAACGCAGGTGCGTTTATAGTACGAAACCCTCAGACGCCGGATGAAACCCGAAATTTGACCATCGACGGCGGTCTCGCGTCATCGGAGATGTAAAAATCAACATCGAGAGATGACGGCTCACCAAAATGACGTCACCGTTACTGCACGTCACTCATAGAGTTTCCCAAAATTAACTAGAGGACACTATGGCGCTACGATCGTTCAGCGACTATGGGAATGATGGGTAGTACACACATTTGCCTAGTCTTCGTACTTGCGGCTTCGTTTAGTGCTGTGTTTCAGTTTTGTTTTGAAAGAAAAAACAAACCCTTTTCAACCTAGTGACTTGATTCGAAATGGTAAGCCTAAAAGAATGAAGTTGTGAAGCGCAAACGGTGAACATTTGCTAATTTATGTTTTCATGAAAAAACAGCTTCAAGCCACACGGTTACACACGGAGCCAGAAGCAGGCCAGAAGTACGAAAATTAGACAAATGAGTGTACTACCCATCATTTCCATGCTCGCTGAAGCGCCGTGTGTTGCAGCTCCCATAAACACTAGCGCCAGAGTTCCCTCTAGTGTATATTGAGAAACTCTATGACGTCACTGTCATAGCATCGCAGCTTTGTTCGGAGGCGGTCCGATCACGGAGACAACGGGAAACCACAGAGTTTCCTAAAAGTAACGAGAAGGGACTCTGGCGCTGCGATAGTTCGGCGACCATGAGAATGATGGGTATAGCACGCGGATTTGACCAGTCTTCGTGCTTGCGAGCATCAAATCGCGCTTGTGGCTTCGTTTATTGCTGTTAAAATTTGCCGATTGTTATTTCGTGACAAAGCAGCTTCAAGCCACGCCTAGCCAAAAGGAACGTAATGTACGAAGACTAGGTAAATCCGTGCACTACTCATAATTGTTATGCTCGCTGAAGCTCTATGCATTGCAGCTCCCATAGACGCTAGCACCAGAGTTCCCTCTAGTGTATATGTAGAAAACTCTATGCGCGAAACCAGGTGGCATGCCTCCGATCTTGGAGGCTTGCTTGTCATTTCACACGATTAGCCGCTTTGACGCATAGACCAAGCTGCAGCGACACGCCGCGAAGGACAAATCCGCCCGCTATTGCATGCAGCAGGGATGCTTTCCCGCACGACGTTTCGAGGGTGCGAGAGCCACGCCGACCCGCGTGCCCCTTTCTATCAGGGCCGAGAGGCGCAGGCCTCCCTTCTCCTCTTTCACGAACTCATCGCCGGGCGGCACACACGTTGCAACGGCTCGGTTGACACCCCCTTCCCCTTTGAAGCAGCGTATAACCATTAACGAGCGGAGGAGACCAGCAGAATGGCTTTTTAACGCACCCCTGGGGCACGCGCCAAAATTCATTATTCTGCTCCCCTTTTCACTTCGCTAACCTTTCAACGCCCGCCCTCCTCCTTGTCTTGTCCTTTCTTTCGTAAAGCGAGGCAGAAGCTTGGGCTATCTCTCTCTTATCTCTTTTATTTCGTAAACCATACAGTCTTATCTGCTTATTCAGCTAATTGAGGCACCGCAAGACCAACAATAGTGTGGGAGATTGTCATTGCAACGCATCTCCTGACGAAGCCAAGCAAGACTGACCACATGGAACACATCAACGGTCCCAAAGCGATCACTTGTGCTCTGCGGGTTTCTTGATCACACTAACCAGGCAAGAGGGTTAAGTCGCGTTTTGGTCTCGCACGTGGCGTAACGACTGTGTGTAGCTTGCAGGTGTATTGCCAGTCCTGTTTATACGGTATTAAGTCTTCTAAATAAACAAGAATTGGAAAAAAAAAAATGCGTTTCTACCTTGACTACGCCAGTGACCGCTCATTCATCTTATCAAACTATGCGGTTTCTAGTGGCCAAGGTACTCGGCTGCTGACCCACAGGTAACGGGATCAAATCCCGACTGCATTTCCGATGGAGGCGGAAATGTTGTAGGCGCGTGTGCTCAGATTCGGGTGCACGTTAAAGAACCCCAGGTGGTCGAAATTTCCGGAGCCCTCCACTACGGCGTCTGACATAAATATATGGTGGTTTTGGGACGTTAAACCGCACATATCAATCAATCAATCAAACGATGTGGTTGCAGCAACGACGTATCAGGGCCTTGCAGAGGAGATGACGATATCGCCGTCTAGGACGTTGTTTCAATTCGATGGACGCCTTCTCGATCGCGACCACGTCTCGTCCAAGGTTGTCGTGCGTATGTGCACATTCTAGCGCTCAATGCACGCGTCTGTTTTTTTTTTTTTTAAGCGCTTTGACGTCCCTCCCACTCTATAAAGTGTGAACCAAATAGCACCAGGACAAGTAACTAAGGCAACAGAGATATTTATGCATAGCGTATACCCACGCGCCTTTGCCTACAAACACCCAAACAAACTCCATACAGTGTGAGTTCTTTGCATTCTCGCCACACCGCTGGCAGGCCTTGAGGCCGAGCTAAAGCATCGACGTGCGACGCAATACATGAATGCCACTCGCGCATTCACTCGGAACCAGCAGGATCCCCACTGCGCGCAATTATCATGGGCCACGCGAAGGCGTACACCGGCTGGCCCTTTTGTCGCGCAATATTTAATTACGAGTGCACGCGCGCGCCTAAAGTCGCAAGAGCAACCACGCCCGTTTAAAACCCCGTCCACATCTCAGCGTGAGCCCAATACATTGTCGCCATAACACGCAACAGGGATGCTTTCTCGAACAACATTTCGAGAGTCGAGCGCGCAGCGTCCACCAACAGCTCAAACGCCTGCGCGACACCACGCTGGTGCACACAACAAGGCACAGGGTGAGCTGAGAGCGCCTAACGACAGCTCGAACAAGGACTCTTGTCTTTTTTTTCTTTTTTTTTTTCATTAAGCCGTCCGACATCGCAGGTTTGACACGGTCTCTCTGGAAGCATAGACTCACCACAGGAGAAATGCTGTTGCCACGGCTGGAAGTACAGTCCCTGTTCCACGGCTGGGGAGGCGGCGGCCACTGTACACGAGGTGTGGAGCGCGAGCTCCAGAGCGTTACATCGCCGGTTTCGAACTACGAATTGCCCGTATCCGTCGCGGCGGCGATGCCGCGCGCATCACCACAACGGAGCACTTCCGACGAACGAACACTCTGAGCGGCGGCACATCAGAAAGGGTCGACGACGGCCGCGATCTCGTCGATGGAACGCACGCTGCGTCCGCACTCGTCCGCTGCTGAGTCCGCGACTCCGAGCGAGGCGGTGGGTGCGATGCCTACTACTACAAGAGCGCGCGCGCGCACACACACAACGCCGAGAAAACTCTCACTCAGACCGGCCGCGAGGAGGAGGAGAGAGTTGAAGGGGAGCCAGTGGATGCCCTCCTTTGGCATCAGCCGCCAAGGGGGCGCCGCCGCTGCCTTCTATGACAAATACGTGGCCTCCGATATTGCCGCAACAGAGGCCTCCTTTCCATCGTCGGTTCAACGATCTCGGAGGCGATTTGGTATGTGCCGACCGCCGCTGCATGCCGGCGGCCACTGGCCTAGAGACCTTTCTCCAAGGACGCCTCAGTAAAAAAGCGCGCCGCCTCGCTCGTATGCGAGCGCGCATGCTTGTCAATGTGGAAGTGAGTTCTTTACACGTCGCGGTGGGCTCAGTCATTGCTTAACGGAAAATGCTGGCCGTCGTCATAAAGGAACAATCGTTGAAAGAGCAGTTTTTCGGTGAACAATGCGGAAGAGCTTCAAAGCATCGATACATAATTTACATAGGGTCAGTCAGCAATGCTGCAATGAACTGTGGCGACAGTTTAGTGCAGTTCACCACTGAGTGGTGCGTTGTTCACATTGTTCCTATGGTAATCCGAGAAAGCAACAGCAATTAATTGGTGGGAACTAGGAGAATCTACTGAAACAATGAGAGCTACTCAAGATGAAGGCAGCAAAGAGTTCGTTGTATAAGACGCATTCACGCTAAGGTTTCCAATCACTTACGTTACCGTGTCACAGCAAACATCTTTTTGGTATGCGTTTCAGGGTGGTGATCAAACTTCGAAACCAAACGAAAGATGAAAAGTGTGTTGTCTGATTCCATATGACTGATCCACCGCCGTGAGCTTCGAGAAGTGGAGGGTCCCATGCGTCAACGTTCAACGATTTTCCAGTAAGCAAGAGGGTTAGGAGGCACAAAGACAAATAAGTCAGAAATAATATACAGCACATCAGGTCAAAAAGATCTTGCTAACTGCTAAAGCTAGCTTTCCGGCAGCGCGGTGCGATGCTACCCATGAGAAAAACTCCAAGTTGCCTTTCTAACCTCTCTGTCCTGTTTTTATCCTCCACCTCCAAGTCGGCCCTTTCCCGCAATAGAAAAGAAAAATAAACAAAAGAGGGGGATCAGGTTCGGATGTTATAAAAACTGAGAATTATACACTGTTGACAACGCCATTCTTGATTTTAGGGTAGAGACGCGATGCGACAGAATGCACGTGAACAAGAACTCACAAGGGCTGGCCGCCATACTTCAGGCAATGTGCATCGCCGGAAAGCCAACACGATGTTCAGTGTGAATGAAAGCCACAAATGCGGATGAATGTAGCGAGTTACTCGAATACGCAATTTTTGACGTGACTTTTCACGGATCTCCGTGCAAGTACTACAATAAGTGAAGTGCAGGTACCGTCATGGCTCTTGAAGCCGAATGCACCTCTCCTTTGTAGAGTTCTGGAGACTCTTAGTTGGGGCGCATCCCTTACGATGCATCCGATATTTCCTCCTCACATTCCAAGCTCGTTTTGTTAAGGCCCTATCAGCGTGGCTCCGTTGTTCGTGTTAAGTGCGACGATGAATGTACCGACGTGCTTAGCCCATACTGCGCCCTAGTGTCAACGGTTCACGGCATAGTTTGCAGTCAGGCAGGCACACGAAGTGGCGTAGCAAGCTTTACAGTAAAGGAAGGAGACAAAAAAAAAAAAAGCCTGGAGGTTAAAAAGAAACATCTCGTGGGCTATCAACATATTCCAAGTTTCCAGGCTCCCCGACGCTGTGTTGGAAAGCAGCTTTGCATTCATGCTTGCAGCTGCTGTTCCAGTTGTCACGTGATCATAGAGGTTGGTAGCGAGCCTTGGGCTGGGCGGAGCCTATGCATCGCGACGTCACTCGAAGTGTCCCTGTATGTCGACGGCGCCTACCGCTGTTTTTACAACCATGAAAGGGGTCTATGCTGGGAGAAGGTATAAAGGAATAGAAAGTTGAGAGCTTAAATGTACAAAGCAGGGACGCGCTGGATCTCCAGCCCTGGACTCGACCTTACGAGGCGGTGCCTTCCCCCCAAAAAATTCCGCCTGCTATCCCCTTCACCTCATCTCTCCACCGCCACTCAACAGCGAAATACGGTGATAACATAGCGCATAAATTTCTCACCCCCCATCACTTCCTGAAGGAACTCGCTTGTCGTGGGTGCCCAAAGAAAAAAAAAAAAAACCCTGGCGCAGCCTCTGTCGGCCTTGAGTTGCCTAACTCGGTATAGTTACACAGAACGCGATCCGCAGTTAAAGAGATAGAGCTAGCACCTACTCCTACCCGTAATGGATTGCGGCGACGCCTCGCGACGTGGACACGATTTGTCATACTCGACGAAGGGACGATACGGCACTGGATGGACGAGATACGGACTGTAGCGGCCACAGGCTGGGCGAGCCTCTTCACCTCCTGGCTCGCTCTAATAGCCCCACATAGCCCACTAGGGTGTCCCACCGCGATGGGGTGGCGTCATTAGCCGCGGCATACCGGATCAGTACACGCGTCTCGTCGTCCACCTTTCGCGCGGAGACGCTTCGTGTAATGCACTTCCTCCCAGTTTACAAGCCTGTACGAGCCCGCGAATCGGGCAGTCCGCTCACGTAGCGCGCGACACGATTGCGGTGCGCGTTACACGGTGGACGGGCGTCTCGATTGAGAGCCGCCGCCTATGCGAAATAAGAACAACGACAGAAAAAAAAAAATGTTGCGACTGCAGGATAGGGGGACACGGTTTCTTCCGCAAGTCTGTGATGGAGAAAGACGCCGGTGCGACGTAAAGATAAAAGGGTAGGGGGGTGAGGCTGCGATGGAGCTGCGCTATCTTCTCCCTTGCGGGACGGACGCGAGAAAACGAAACCGCTCTACGACTACGGAGCAGCCCCCCACAGCAGAAGCGGGAAAACACCCCCCTCCCCCATTGCACGGGGGAGGGGGGGACTGTGGAATGCGCCTCGCCGTTCAGAGGCGGGCTTTTCGTGAGTAGTTGTGAGAGGGCGGTTGACGAGGACGTAAGGGAGAGAGAAGGAGCGTTGAGGAGAACCCGACGGCATCCCGAAGAGCGGCATGGAGTGCGCGCGATCCACTACTATCGGCATTCCACTAACAGCTAGGGATTCCGGAGAGCTGCAGCTGGCAGCTGGCTCGCTGCAGAATATTCGCATAAGCACGAGCTACACGCGAGCATAGCTGTGAAAAGTAAACTGCTACTCATGCTCGAACCTATAATAGTTTTGTTGAAGAATCTCTTCTCTGGGGACACTGGCCTTTCGCGATGGAAGTTTAGCGGCTAATGTGTCGCGCTGTTAAGCTCGAAAAGGCGGGTTTGACTCCGAGCCGCCGCAGGCTGGTCGTATTCTAATCGGTGCAAAATACAATCACGCCCATCTGCTAAGACTGAAGTGTTCGTTTAATGCAAACCACTTGGGTCCGAAACTCATCGAGGTTCTCCGACAACGGCGTTTCTCCTTATCACACCAGAAAGCCCGAGAAGTTAAATTTAAGGATGACATCCTTCAACGACTCTGTCTAGCCACGGGAGCTAAAACAGCCGAAGCGACACTTATGAGAGAAGACAGGGTAGGGCGCCAACTTTTCCTTTCAGCTATGTTATTTACTGCACATCACCCCCCCCCACACACACACACACACACTTCGTCTAAAGGAGGGCGCCTTTGAATTGGGCAAAAGACTACCAGCCACTAACTATTCGACAAGGTCACCTTCGCGTCTTCCCTACGGCTGCAAGGGAGATGCGTGTGCCCCGAAGAGAATTGCACTTCTTCAACAGTTGACGTTCAACCAGCGATGAGCGCGGTCGTCGGTGTCACGAGTCTCGCGTAGGCGGCGAGCAAGGAGTGTCCAGCGCAACGTGTTGAGACGGCTGCAACACCGGGGCACCCTCGTCATTAACCTATGCAAGCGAGACCTCCAGCGGCACCCTGTAAACTCCCCTATGTGAACCACGAGCAGGACTGGTCCGTATGAAACGTTTTTATTGTGATTTTTTTTTCAACACGTATTATAAATACGCGGATTTAAATAATTGTAGTTGTGTGCGCTGCATCGCACGTATAGAATCTCAGATTCGAGAGTTCGACCTTCCTAGTGATTTTTATTTTTATCTCTCTGCAACCTCTTTTCTCCCCTTTATCCCTTCCCCAGTGAAGGGTAGCAAACCAGATGTGGGTCTGGTTAACCTCCCTGCCTTTCCTTGCATCTTTATCTCTTTCTCTCTTTTAATTCCATCATGTTGTTGTTTTATTAGCACACCGCGTTTCCTGCTTGTACCTGTTGCCGTGTTCTTTTAGAGCATAGTTTGTTTTGTAGCTGTTCTTTTCATCGCGAATTTTTGTAGTCTCCTCTTGGTTCATTTTTGTTAGCTCTTGCCATGACCCTTGTCTTAATTAAATGCTTGTCTGTCCTTAAAGCAATGTCCGTGTCTGCTCTGCGAGTACGTAAGTCAGACTCAAACACGTGCAGCACCGCACGGGTCGAGGCCTTTCAGGCGTCGCCGGCCTAAACGTAAAGTGGAAGCCTGCGAGTCTGCCACACGCCGCAGTTAGATCGGCGGGGCTTGGCCCGACGTGCGTTACAAGTGCCCATAAAGATAGGCCCAGCACATGCGAGCTATCCCACAGCCCTATTTATCCAGAGAAAGAAACTATCGCACAACGCTGTCTAAAATGTTGGCAGTGGCTTAGCTCGGTTATGCCAGGATA